TGCTTCTGATGCTGCTCTAGATCAACCAAACTTGCATTGTCTTCTTGAGACAACCAAGTACAAACACCAATCACCATTCTTAGACTTAGAACCTGTTGAGTATGGACAGATTCAAAGCACAAAATTAGTGAATGATGGAGAGAATAAAGTAACCAGAGAGTATAAGTAACCAGAGAATTAGTAACAAGAGTATGAGAGAATATGAAAAAATAATGGAGAGTAAGAGTAAGGAGGATAATGAGAGTTTTGCGGAAGCAATTTTCAGTCCATGGCCTTCAAGCTTCATGGCTGATCACAATGCTGGTGAGGCATGAACATCCCACCAGTTAACACATTTTTAAAGCATTTTCAAAATCAGATTACTCAAGAATCTGTTGAAAACATTTTCAGATTTTAAATCCTTTCAAAGAGCTTTCTTTAAATCTGAAATTCAAATGCTCTTGCAAATCAATTTTCTTCAATTCACCATCAGTCTCTCTCCCTCTCAAGCATTGGTTTCACTAGAATCAAAGTATTTTACCAAGTTTGAAAATATTGAGAGACAAAGGGGATAAAAGACTGATAATGTTTTAGAGAGAAAGAACTTCATCTTTGTAAATAAATCAATTTTAAACCAAAACAGATGAAGTCTTTTGTTCCATTGCCCTCCCTTAGGCTTTGTTCTTATAATCCTAACTCAAGATCAGGACCAAAGCTTACACATGGGAGAGAGGAACCAACAAAAACGAACTTCATCTTGTCCTCTTAAAAGAAGTCATTAGACAAGATGAAGAACACACACATTTTTAAAAATCGATTCAAGTGTTTTTCCAAGACACAAGTATAATCTTTTCTCCCTCCCTCAAGCTGTTATGAACATATTTCATTCCTTCATCCAAAAGCTTAATCAATGAGGAGATCAAGGGGAGAGTCACTGATTAAAAAAAAAACTTTTATAAAAGCTTTTATCTTGAATCAAAACATAGATTTTAAACACATACTTTATCTAAACTCTCTTCTGTTCATGTTTTGAATCTTAGCCACACAGCTCCTCAAAACAAATTTCAAAGTGAGAGAGAGATTCAGATGAGTAAAATCGAAATAGAAGTGAGTTCAGCCCAAGAAGAGCAACAAAGCTCTGATACCATGTTGGAAAAGCTATGAATAGCTAAGAACATGAACTCACTCTTTAAGAATGAAAGAGACAAAACAATCTTATTAAGTATTAATAAATTTAATATGAAGCGGATGAAGTATAAATTTGTATTGTTTTTTTAGAAAATATTGAGGTTTCATATTCATAAAATATTAGAAAGTGTTGTGGTTTATATGTATTAATTAATGTGAAGCGGATGAAGTAAATCTGTTTTGTTGTTTTTAGAAAATATTAATTTTTCATATTCATAAAATATTAGAAAGTGTTTTTGTATAGATGTATTAATAATTTAATATGAAGCGGATGAAGTAAACATGTATTGTTGTTTTAGAAAATACCGATGTTTCATATTTTCCATTTTATATTAATATTTTTCATGTCTCATAAAATGCATTAAAATTTTTTATAAATAAATAATTTTACAATCAACAATTTAAATATAGTAATATTATAGAAAGTGATTATATTTTGACGAAAATGACCAAAACGTCTATATTTTTTTGTCATTAAACTCATAAAATATATTCATATAAACGATAAACAGTGATTGCTTCTTCGCATTAAGTGTTAGATCGTACATCTTTGAATTATATGCATTATGAGAATATGAATAATCTATGAGTTGTGAGAACTCTCTTTCAGATTCTTGATATTTTCTAAGAGTTTTATAAAAACTGGATATTTTTTAGTTTCTAAATCATTTTCACTAACTGAGAATAATCTCTTGCAACCGTGACTTGAAACTGACGTAAATTCCTCATACACTCTATTGTCTAGATGAAAGCTTCTACTTCTGAATGAAGTGGTGATAGAATAGCTATAGTATTTCCTAGTCCCATCAAGCCATCATAACCCTCTGATGTGTTATACTAACTTTGTCTCTAATGACTTTCATTATCCTTCCAAGACCCATTCGAAAAGCACTATTTTCTCGGTATGGAAGGTAAGGTAGTAACCTCTACCTCTCCATTTTGAGCATTCCTTGATGATATGTATCTTGTCTCTCTGTCAAAATTTGTGATTCTGTTTCTGCCAACTTTAAAGTCTCTCAAGGATTTATATCTATATTGGTAAACACTTCGTTATTTCGTCTCTTCCAAAAATACCATAGAATTTATACAAATTGGTGGTCTTTCAATTAGGAGTACTCTCCAAAATAAATGATTCATATTTGCATAAAATGACTGTCCAAAAACAATGATTGGATTCAAGGGGATCTCTAATAGTGCCAAGACTTGAACCGCCGGGGGACATTAAAAACCACATGGTTTATTGTTTTTTCTAGTGCTCCACATAAATCATCATGAATTCCTCTCAATCGTAATTCTTACCCGCTAGACAA